ATGCCTCGCCCTGCCTAAGCACCCAGTGATCTGTATAACCTTGTTTGCAATGATCTGTATATTCTTGTTTGCTATGATCTGCCTGGACTGCTTGCAAAACAAAGCTTTCCTCTGTAATTAGGCACTTGTGACTACAATAAATCAAATAAAATCCAAATTTTGAAAATAGGAACATGAGTAGGCCATTTAGCCATTTAGCCCTTTCAGCCTGTTCTGCCATTCAAAAATTCATTTGTGGGATGTGGGCATCGCTGGTTGGCCAGTTTTTTTGCCCAGCCCTAGCTGCCCTTAAGGAGGTGGTGCTGAGCTATCTTCTTGAACCACTGCAATCCACAGAATCATCCAACTCAGTACCCTATTCCCACTTTCTCTTCATAACCTTTGACTCCTTTAGTCATAAGAGTCATATCTAACTCCTTCTTGAAAACATACAATGTTTTGGCATCAACCACTTCCTGTGGTGGAAAATTCCACGGGCTCACTACTGTCTGGGTGCAGAAATTTCCCCTCTTTAATACTCAGCTGCTTCGGTGGTCAGGGTGAGGCCCCTCTCCTCATAAGTGTGAGGAGCTGAATGTCTTGGTCTATTATGGAACGTTTTGTCCTCCACGGAGCCAAAGGGAGGGATTGAGTCAGATGAAAATGGATGGCATAACTGTCAATGCTGTTGTAATTGGGAGTGAGATGTTGAACTGTCTGGATTGAGTGTGTAGGCAGTGTAGAGGGCATACACGGCTAGTGGTATTGAGAGCTAGGCTTTGTGAGAACAAATAAACAAAGCTGTGGTACCTTGGTGGGTGCAGTAACTGAGATAGAGACAGTGAGTGTGAAGGCGGGAAGATGGTGGCAGAGTGGTGAAGGACATTGACCTTTGTCCTGCATAGCTGGATGGTTGAAACTGCCCTCACCTGGCCAGCAACCCCAGTCAGGCTGGCAGGATTTAGGGTCGTGGCCTCATCAGCCAGTCCTAGTAGAAAAGGATATTCCTCCTCAGCACCACACTGTCCGACACAAACTCCAGACTCTGCCCACAAAACAGGGCACCAAGTTTCCCTTCTCCGCCAACTTTGCTATGAACTGTGCAGGGCAGGTCTGGATTGACAATGCTTCTCTGATGGAAAACACCCTTTTAGAGATGGCGCCAGTGCTAGGGATGATGGTCCATTCTGGGATATCCCAGCAGTGGCAATCTCTTGCATCAAGTGGTAAAATTGGGCTAGCATTTCCTGTTTTGGATCATTATGCAAGAAAAATGACTAGGCCTTGCAGGGAGAAGCCCTTCATTATCTGTGTTTCTTATATGTATTTGTCACTGTGTTTTATTGAATGGGTCTCATAACTAATCAATACTAATAACCTTTCTCAAGATTTCTCAAATTCAGTTGATAATTGTAACTGAATGTCATAACCTTCCCTGGTGGTCTAGTCATTAGAATTTGGTGCTTTTATCACTGTGGTTTGGGTTTGATTCCTGGTCAGCAAATACAGGCTTACTCTAGGGCTCTTGTGGCATGGCGGTAGTTTACCTACCTGAGCCAGAAGGCCTGGGTTCAAGTCCACCTGCTCCAGATCTGAACAGGTTGATTAAAAATGTCTATAATTATAATTGACCGGGTCTTACAGTTCAAGGTCTTCTACATTGGTGCTGAAACCCTGGAAAACCTGAAACCCTGGAAAACCTGAAACCCCTAAACAAAGTGGATTGAAACAAGTTTCATACAATGTGGGAACCAGTGATGTTTAGTTTCCGCATGTGGAGGTGCTGGTGTTGGACTGAGGTGGACAAGGTCAAAAATCACACAACACCAGGTCCAACAGGTTTATTTGGAAACATAAGCTTTCGGAGTCTTGCTCCTTCTTCAGGCGTTAGTGAGAGAGGTGGCATCAGACACAGAATGTATAAGCCAAAGATCAAAAGGTCGTAGAACTGAGGCAAATGTATTGAACAAATCTAAGATGGCTGTCGAATCTGTAATCAGTTAGAAAGGAAACACCAATTTCGATTGATTAATACGCAAATCTCAGATTTTTTTTTCAAGTTACTATCCTGAGATGCCCAAAAGTTTTAGCAGTATGCCTGAGGATAAATCTCAGGTCAGACAATGCATTTTGGGTGTGAGGCCTTGTTTAGAACCTAAAAACCGAAAAAACTGCAGATGCTGTAAATCAGCATTTAGAATCTGTCTGGGTTTTAACTTGGAGTCAGACCAGTTTTGTTTTCAAAGTAGGAATTTATAAAATGCCTCATTGACTGTCTACAAATTGTGTGCTTTTTGAACAAAATAGAATGCATCTGCAATTACAAATCTACAAATGCAAATTCACCCTATTGATTTATGTGTGTGTGTGTATGTGCATGTGTGTGTGTATGTAGGCTTGAGTGTGAGAGTGTGTGTGAGAGAGTATGTATATGAGAGAGAGTGTATAGTGTGGTGGGGTCTCCTGTAGTGTGACATGAACCCATGAGGTTTGGTACCCAAGAGTACGGCCTCAACCAGGACCTTGTGTTAAAGTTGCACTACAGATGACCACACCACACTACACACTCTCACACACACACGCATACATACACACAAACTGTCTCATATACTCACACAGACCCTCTCTCATACACATACACACACACACATGTAAATCTATGGGGTGAATTTGCATTTGTAGATTTGTAATTGCAGATACATGCTATTTTGTTCAAAAGCACATAATTTGTAGACAGTCAATGTGGCATTTTATAAATTCCTACTTTGGAAATAGAACCATTCTGACTCCAAGTTAAAACACAGACAGATTCTAAACAAGGCCTCACACCTAAAATGCATTGTCTGACCTGAAATGTTACCTCTGATGTACTGACAAAAACCTTTAGTTATCTTGGAGCAGTGACTTGAAAGAAATTCTGGGATTTACTAATTAATCAATCAAAATCTGCATCTCCTTCCTAACTGATTAAAGATTCAACAGCCATCTTCGGTTTGTTCAATACATTTGCATCAGTTCTATGACATTTTTACCTTTTGCTTATAAATTCTGTGTCTGATGCCACCTCTCTTACTAACACCTGAAGAAGGAGCGAGACTCCAAATGCTCATGTTTCCAAATAGATCTGTTGGACGATAACCTAGTGTCATGTGATTTTTGACCTAGTTCCTGCAGGGAAGATATCTTACAAAAGGTGGCCCATTAAGCTGACCCAGTAAAGAGTCTTGGAAAGATACATAATGTTGCATAAAGATAATTGGAAAAAATGTCTTTGGAAGAATATTTTGACTAAATCGGCATAGTAAAGCCCTTTCAGAGAACTACAGTGTGGATTCTTTTGTAGAAGTAGTTATATTTGTCCAAGGGTGGATAGATGATGATAAGGACAGTTTAATAGTTCTAAATTTACTAGAAAATATTGGAATGTTTGAATTCCAACACCAGGGTTTTGCTTGAAGATGTTTTTTGTTTTCATTCAGAAGAGTTCAGCAAAAAGAGTTAAAAACTGCCTGTTGCAGCTGTATTTATTTACTGTGTACACAGAGAAGGTGAGGGAAATAAATTTTGAAGTTAATGATAATGTTTGGAGAAAGATAAGTTGTAAACAAGCCACAATGAGTTTTGCTGTATTAAAGGAAATTTTACGCATGAGTGGATTACGTTTCTGTTTGTGTGTTTTATTAGGATGCCTTATTTCACTTTATGTGTCCATAAGCCAGTGTTTGTGTCACTGATTAAGTTGTGATAGAATGGATGTTGAAGAGTTGTAAGACCATTTCTACTTTTCTGGCAGAATGAATGAGAGAGAGAGATAAGGGGTCATGAACAATGATGCTTAGTAATGTGATTACGATCGTAAGCTTCAATTGTTCAGCGATTGAATGATCAAAAACTCCCTTTGTCTCCCCTATGGTGCTGTTTAAAATTACCAGGTTTTAAATGTTTTTGTCTTAAATTATAATGTTACTGTGTGTGAAAATTTGTGATGGTGAGGTGATACTGTCAATGTAAGGCATGATTTGTGCTTGATGCAGATTGTTGTTAAATGAGTAATGGGGATGCAATGCATTGAACTCAGTGATGGTGGAGGTGCAGGTTTTAGGATAAGGTATTTGAAAATGCGTTGACTGAACTTCACTGCTTGTGAGATCATTAAATCTCTTGAAACACTGCACCCAGGTCCTTGTGGTTAGACTGCTAGCATTGACTGCATGGCTTTCTGTGCTTACGCTGGTGCAGCTTCTTGAAAGGGAACTTACTCCTGCTTGCACCAAGGCTTCCAGTACTATTGGAGAACTTTGGAGCAAACCCTTTGTCACATGGTGCCTTTTTTAAAAAAAAATGCTGTTCTCACTTCAAACTCACTTCTGAAGTGAATTCCAAAACCTGTTGGAGTTGTCTGCTGACTTTACGGAGTAGTAACTGGCTTGAATCAGATAGGCCATTGCTCAGTAGTATACGTTGTCCTGGACACATGCTACAATGCCAAGGTAGTGTGTGGTTTCCTGTTTCAGAATCGAGGGCATGGTTTGATCAAAAATTGTGATCTCTGTGCCCATTTTCAGAAGCTACCAAAGTGTGCATGAGTCTATTATTCTCGGTGAGCGAATTAAACAAAGTGCCTCATAGTTTGTCCTATTGTCAGTGAAGGATGCGCAACTTTGGATAACACTGCAGCGTTCTTAACATGTTTGCAGGTGTAACTGGAGGAAAGTGGCAATGTCTAGAGCCAAAATGATCCACAGGAAAGGGTTCACATGCCTTATGATATCATAGGAGCAATATATAGAGATTTGAAAACTGAGTGTGATGCTTGTCTGTATTTGATGTTTATAGTAAATGCCTGAATGCTAAATTGAACCCGTGTTGGAAAATATGATGAAGAAATTCCAAGTATGACTAAGCGGGAAATTGAGATATGCATTACCGATAACACTGTTGCTCTTTTTGAAAATAACTCTTGCTAATTTACCTAATACTCACAAAGAGCTGTGTTATAAAGTTTATAATATAATAGAGGATTGTAATTTATAACAAATATTTTATTATAGTCCACATAAAATGTCCAGAAATAAAACAATTAATAATATTCATGATGTTTCTTTATATAAGTTAATATTATCCAAATTAACATTTCTAAATGGAAAAGTGATAGTTTTTTTGCTGCAGCTTCAATTTTCATTAACTAACATGCTGCATATTAAGTTTCATATAAAGCATTGACAGTTATAGAAAAGCTTTACAATTGATAAAACAATTCAAATAGTATTTACAATATTGTATTTGAATATATTATGTACAGAACTTCCAATCAAGTCCTGCTGAGACTTGTTACTCCAGAATGCTCTCACATCTTCTGAGATTATCGCAATAAATGATAAGTGCTTTCATTCACAGTCAGTACATTGACCTTTTGCAATATATACAGTACATTCATCACTCCAGCTGTCTGGACTATCATATCTATGGCAGTTTTTGTGATTGCATTTGACATCTTATCCACAATTTAAAAGACACAGGTTTCATCAGCCAGATAGTAATATAAACATGAGCTTCTTCCTATTAATACCAATTTCAGAGATGCTGACTGTATTTATATGTATTTTTATGTTGTTTGCTTCCTCGCCAGTTTACTCTGCATTACAATGAGCTTTTTATTTGATTACATTTTTGTCTATTCGTAAAATTTCGGCTACAGATACCTTTTTACCATATACTACAGCATGAATGTTTGCTCTTTCTCTGCAGGGATTTATTGTGTACTTTGTAGAAAGTACACCAACATATCTGTTCTGTATTAAATCCTTTGCCAAAGATATATGTGGCTCAGTGTATTTGTAAACAAACAAAAAACTGTGCCATGGAAAGTTTTCATAGAGTGTATGGCACTACAACAGTTTTGCTGCGTTTAAATCAGCCAGCATACAATGGGCAAATGTACACTTGCTAAAAGCAATGAGGATTGGTCTCCTATCCCAGTTAAGAGCTTGGATAAGAGACCATGACTAAGTCATTTGAAGGACAAGATGTGTAAAACTAAGTGCCCTGGAAGTAAGTCAAAGAGCAGAGAATGTATGATAAGGTAAAACCAAGCTTATGTCAACAACTAAGACTCAATACTGCAGAAAACGAGGAAGTTGTAAAAAAGATGCAGGGTGAAACTAAAAGGAAATTAGGATAGCAAAAACAAGGCTTCATTAATTAACAGCAAGTAACATCAAGGAGAATCTGAAGATGTTTAAGAAAGAGTTAATAAACAAGAAGATAATTAAGTGCACGGCCAATTAATGACCAAGTGAAGATAGAAAACATGGTCATGGTTCTTGATGAATATTTTGTTTTTACTGGTTATGGGAATGATGCAAACATTGTACTTTAAAAAGAAGTCTGAAATATTGTATTGGCATAGATAGTGAGAGAGGAAATATTGAAGCGTTTAGCGTCTTTGAAAGTAGGAAACTCATTATGCCTAAAATGTACTCCACGCAGCTCAAAGAAACAAGGAAGGAGGTAATGGAGGCTCTGAAATCTTCTGAGGTTACAGATGTAGTGACAGTTGTTAATAGTGTAACTGTTGTTTAAAAAGAGAGGAGGGCATTGCTCAAGTAATTACAGGGCACTCAGCCCAAATTACTAGAAAGTATTCTGAGGGATAGTGTTCATTGTTGTTTTGAAAAATGTGGATTAATCAAGGATAGTCAACACGGCTTTATGAAGGGAAGATTCAGTCTTAATGATTGCTAGTTTTGAAGTGGTAGCAAAGAGGGTGGATGAGGGTAGTTTGGTAGTTTACAAGGGATTTAGGAAGGCTTTTAACAAGATCCCACATGCTGACTAATCTGAAAAGTAAGAAGTAATCAGACCAAGGGGAAAGTGGCAGACTGGATGTAAAGTGGCATGTAACAATGGCCAGGAGTTACTTCCATAACTTCCCATTGAGGTTCCAGCAGGTTCAATGCTGGGTCTCTTGATTTTCATTCAAAAGGTCAATAATTTAGGTTTGAATATAAAGGAAGCGCTGAAACTCACTCATTGAAAAACTGCAAGAGACAGAACACCTCATCACATTGAAAAGGTACTGCTTAGTGTTGAAGCCTACAGGTCTGGAAAGTGGGATTAGGCTAGATTGCTGTTTTTGGCCACCAGAGATATAATGGATTGAATCGTTGCCCTCTGTATTATGACGTTTCTACATTACAGCGAGCTGCTCATAAAGAGCAATGATTAAGGTTAAGGGGGTGAGCAAAAGAGTGAGAATAAACACTGAAAATCTCAAAGAAAAATACAATGACAGACTTAATGCACCAATGGTGCTGTTTCTACATTATACCAGGCACAAAGTACCACATGATGGTATTGGTAAAGATGAATTGAAAGATTATGACGCTGAAAGTGCTCTTGCTGGTTGAAAAGTTGGGTATGCTGAAAGAAAGAACTTAGAAGAGTTTCCATCATGCTGGGAACAAACACAAGTTTGATCTGCCCCATTCAGAGCATATGAAATGACTAGGAAATCAGGCCAACAGAATGATTCGTCCAGAGTTACTACAGCTCCTGGCCCCTTCTTGTTCTTTGATCTAAATGCAGGAGAAGAATAATTATCTGGGTATTGTAGTGTGTCTGGGACTCAAAGCTTCCAAGATGCTGGAACTGATTCGAGCATTTTGATTCACTCACGTGCATGTTGTCTGTGCTCTTTATTTTCAATACCCCGATCCCACCTTCCAATGGGAACTCTTATTGTGCCCAAATTGGCATGGTTGCCTGCCAAAAATATCCAAGTCAAGTGACCCATGCCCTGGTCCTTTTATCTTTTAGATATTTTTCAGTTTAGAAACAATAACCGGTTTGCATCATGTTAATCAGATGCCACAGTCTTGAGGTTCTGATGACTAGGGAAGCCATTCGAAGCCCAAAAATATATTAAATGCTTAATATCAGTGTGTTTCAGTGAGTCCCATGTTGTTTAGTACAGTCTAATCCTCCAGGTCATCATCCTGTCCTGCTGTTGCTGCTTCCAGTGCTGCAAGTGCAGCAACCACCTCCGGATCTTCCCCATCTATCCTGAGTTTCACTTCTTCAAACAAATCATTGCTGAGTTCTTCATCAGTAATACTAGAGGGCATGTTGTCTAGATCTTCATACCCATTTATGGTATTCATTTCCGAATTAGAAGATTGGTTGGATGAAGATTTGACTTCCTCTGTGTCAGTTTCCAGATTGTATCGATTTGCTTCATCATTTTGCATATGCAACAGTTTACTGTTATTTACAAAGTCAATTTCCAGGTCAATTGTTTTCTCTCCTCCTTCATGCACTTCACATGCTTTCTCCATGTTTTCTGCTTCAGTGGGATGTTCTGTGGATGGCCCATTGATTGTCTGGCAATCACTTTCTGTTTCTGGGTCATGGTGCTGTGTCAGTTCATCTTCAGATGTCTCTCTTAAGTTATTGTTTGAGGAACAGTTACCTGTATTAGTGGTTTGAGTTATTTTGTCAAGTTCTGGAACTGTGTAAGACTCTGGATGTACAAGTTTATTATTCAATGCACATATTACATCATTGTCAGTGTTGTCTTCAACACCTTCCACTGTTTTTTCTTCTGCACATGTTAAATTCTTTTCTGATACTTTCATTTCCTTCCTTATAATTTCTATATTTTGTTCTTCCAAGTTTATCACTTTGTCCAAAGTTGAAGTGACAATATTGTTAGTTTTGATGTTGCTGTTGTGAAATGACGTCTCACGTTTAATGTCATTGTTTCTATAATTTTTTTCATTTTTCACACTGTTGGGCGGTAGTTCTCTTACAATAGTAGGTCCAAAGATGTACCTGAAACAACAAGAATAAATGTTGCCAAGTGCATTTGTTTTGTTAGGGAAGTGTTAAGAACCGATGATGCTATTGAGGGCTTTATCACACTGCCCTTTTGCTTCACAGAAAGGCTGATGGGATCAATGTCTCCCTTTCTGCTGTTTGTTCAATGTACTAACTCATCAAATAAGCAGACAAACAGATCCCAGATTCAATACCTCATTGATGCTGAGTAATGTTATAGAGCGAAGGTCAAACCCCTCTGATAATTAAAACCGAATCACCTAGAGAAGCTTGCCTCACCTCATAATCTGCTAAAGGAAATGGGGAAAATAGTATAACCTGCCTTTCACCTCCCAATCTGAAAGAAATCCCTGATACCCACTTTATAAGCAACAAATAACAATTTATTTATCTAACTCTAACAGTGAACAAATTAACAGAACTACTAACAAACCGAGCAATTCCCCCTTAACTACTAACTATTCCCAAGCAGAACAAAATTCTAATGACATGCTGTTCTAATAGATATAAGTCCCACTTATATAACCCAAAGTAATAACAAAGATAAAATAAAACTTAGGCTCTCAAAACTATAGTCAGGATGAGTCTTCTGGAAAGTTCCATGCCTTTCCTGCTATTTTTCAGTCAGGAATTCTTTCTTCATTGAATCCTTATGCCAGGAATATTAGCTAAGAGTGCCATGGTACCTTCTAGATGATGCTTAATCAGAGAGCTTAAAGATTTCTGTGAGAACCAGAGTTTTACTCTTCCAATGGCAGTTCACTGTCATGCTGAATTTCAAAAGACCCTCTTCTTATATTCCCTTGAGGACCTGTCAATTTTCTTCTAATAGGATTGTCCTAGGTTGTCAACACCATTGGATTTAAATTTAATTGGGTTTTGGCGTCTAGGGCCTGCTTTAAATTAAGTGACTGATATTCAAGCTGGTTGCCTTAATGTCAAAACAAGCCCAGTTTGCCAACCACACACCCAATTGACACATATGTTTCAATTTCAGAACTGTCTGTGCATCTGTAGCTGCTTGCAGACTTGTTTTTATCTCCAACTTTAGAAAAGCACATAACCTCTTAACAGGGACCACGCACTCTTCCCCCAATCATGTTTACAAACACATTCTAACATTTTGCCTTCTAACCTCCGCACTTAAGAAAAAAAATTAACCATCGTTCTGAATAGACAGTTTCTTTTTTTTTTTCTAAATTTAACACCATCATTACCAAATCCAAAATGCATTAGTCTAAAATTACACAATTCATATTAATTCTATATACATATAACATTGAACACTACTAGTTCTATCTTATACACACATTTTCTTTTAAACCCACAATGACACATCTGCAATAACATTTTCATGATCTGCAACATGTACAATTTGTAAATTAAATGTTTGTAACATAAGACTCCAACAAAATCATCTGGTGGTCTTGTCCTTAAATTTTTCAAAAAATGACAAAGGGTTGTGATCGGAATACACAACTGACTCTGATACATTGTTCGTAATATAAACATTAAAATGTTGTAAGGCCAGTAACAAATTCAATAATATTTTTCAATGGTTGAATATTTTCTCTGGTGGCTATTGAGTTTCTTTGAAAAATAACCAATTGGCCTTTCCATGCCACAATAATCCTCCTGCAACACCACGTCTCCAACCCTTATATTGCTTGCGTCGATAGCAACTTTAAAGCGTTTCAAGAAATTTGGCGTAGCTAAAACTGGTGTGGTGGTTAACATTGATTTTAAATTCTCAAATGTCCCCTGGCATTGTTCTATCCACCAAAATTTCATGCTCTTCTTTAACAAATCCGTCAGTGGTGCCACCATACTTTTAAAGTTTGGTACAAATTTCCTGTAGAATCCACTCAACCCCAAAAAAGTAGCACTTCCTTCTTTGAGGATGGTTTTGGAAATTCCTTGATGGCCTTCGTCTTCACATTCCTTTGTGCCATCTGTCTGTACCTGATGTTGAGCCCTAAGAATGTCACTTCTGCCTTAGCAAATTCAGTTTTTGCTAAATTTATAACCAGTTTTGCCTTCCGTTGTCTTTCAAAGACCTCTGCCAAATGCACCATGTGATCTTTCCATGAATGGCTAAAGATCTCTACAAGTCATCTATATAGATGGCACAATTAGTAAATCCCGCCACAACTCTGTTCTTAAGTCTTTGAAATGTGGCTGGAGCATTCTTCATTCCAAAGGGCATTACTTTAAATTGATATAGCCCATTTGGAATTACAAAAGCAGAAATTTCTTTTGCTCTCTCCAACAAAGGTACTTGCCAGTAACTGTGAAGTAAGTCCAACTTTGCGATATAAGTGGCTTGTCCAGCATTTTCCACACAGTTTTCCAGCCTTGGAATCAGGTATGAGTCTGATTTAGTCATGGCGTTGACCTTCTGGTAATCCAGAATCATTGAGTTTGGGAACCAATACATTTGGTGAACTCCATGCACTTTGACTTGGCTCGATGATGTCTTCTTGGAGCATCGCTTCCACTTCCTTCTGCACATGTGCTGCTATGAGAGGATTAAGCCTGTAGGGGTGTTGTTTTATCAAAACAGCATTACCTATGTCCACCTCATGTACTATAGTATTAGTCCTTCCCATTTCTATTTCTACATATGTCCTCGTTGTGCTGTGACAAGTCTTTTAATTCAGTTCTCTGTTGCTGAGACAGATAGCTTACTACCCTATCCCTTTCTTGCAGCATATCCTCATTATTCAATTTATTATGAGGCACATCAAAATCAGAATCATCTGGATTTGATTCCTCAATGAATGGCAGTAACTAGTACCTGTTTCTCTGGTTTCCTTTCCCTGTCATCATAAGGTTTCAGCACATTCACATAACATACCCGAGAGAGGCTTTTCCTATCTGGCATCTTTACCAGATAGTTCACCTGACTCAATTTCTTCTCAATCTGATAGGGACCACTAAACCTTACTTTGAAGGGATCTTCTACCACTGGTAACAGTACCAATACTTTTTACCCACAGGCAAATGTCCAAATTTTAGATTTCTTATCTGCTTCTTGCTTCATTAGGTGCTGTGCCATCTTCAAATGTTGCCTTGCTAATTCACCCCCTCTGTTTAATCTTTCTCTCAGCTCAGATACATTATCCATCTGTGAGATCTCTGACTTCAGACCTATCAATTTTTCCTTAATTAATTTCAACGGCCCTCTTACTTCATGTCCAAATATCATTTCAAATGGAGTAAAATGAGTGGATTCATTTGGAGCATCTCTAATAGCAGATAGTATAAATGGGATATGTTTATCCCAATTATTTTTTTGGGTAATCCTGGCAATAAGGTCTCAACATGGTCTTTAGGGTCTGATGCCATCTTTCCAATGCTCCCTGAGATTCAGAATGGTATGGATTTGTTGGATGACTAAACTATCCATGATCTCCTTAAGTAATTTGTCAGTAAAATTGGACCCTTGGCCTGGTTGAATCTCCCTGGGTAGTTCATAACAGGTAAAGAAAGCAAACAACTCCTCTAAACTTTTTTGCCTTGACATTCCATAATGGAATTGCCTCTGGAAATTTGCAGACACATCCATTATGGTTAGGAAACACTGGTTCCCACTTTTGGTTTTAGAGAAGGGACCTACACAATCAATTATAATCCATGTGAAAGTTTCTTCAAATGCAGGAATTGGCATCAAAGGCGCTGGTTTTATTACTGCCTGTGGCTTTCCTACCGTCTGACACATATGACAGGTACAGCAAAATTCAACCATATCTTTATGCAATCCACCCAATAGAAATGCTTCTATATCTTAGCCTGAGTCTTCCTCCATCCTACAGGTAATTTGTGTGCTATCCACAATATTTCCTGTCTGTATACTACTGGAAACACAATCTGGTGAACTTCCACCCATTTCTTATCTGCACCAACCTGCCAAGGTCTCCATGTTTGCCTTAAGATTTTATCAAAGAACAAAGAACAAAGAAAATTACAGCTCAGGAATAGGCCCTTCAGCCCACCAAGTCTGCACCAATCCACATCCTCTATCTAAACCTGTCGCCTTATTTTCCAAGGATCTGTATCCCTCTGCTCCCTGCCCATTCAGGTATCTGTCTAGAATCATCTTAAATGTCGCTATTGTGCCCGCCTCTACCACCTCCGCTGGCAACACATTCCAGGCACCCACCACCCTCTGCGTAAAGAACTTTCCACGCATATCTCCCTTAAACTTTTCCCCTCTCACCTTGAAATCATGACCCCTAGTAATTGAGTCCCCCACTCTGGGAAAAAGCTTCTTGCTATCCACCTTGTCTATACCTCTCATGATTTTGTAGACCTCAATCAGGTTCCTCTCAACCTCCGTCTTTCTAATGTAAATAATCCTAATCTACTCAACCTCTTTTCATAGCTAGCACCCTCCATACCACGCAACACCCTGGTGAATCTCCTCTGCACTCTCCAAAACATCTACATCCTTTTGGTAATGTGGCAACCAGAACTGTACACAGTATTCCAAATGTGGTCGAACCAAAGTCCTATACAACTGTAACAAGACGTGCCAACTCTTGTACTCAATACCCAGTCAGATGAATGAAAGCATGCCGTATGCCTTCTTGACCACTCTATCCACCTGCGTTGCCACCTTCAGGGTACAATGGACCTGAACACCCAGATCTCTCTGTGCATCAATTTTCCCCAGGGCTTTTCCATTTACCGTACAGTTCGCTCTTGAATTGGATTCCAAAATGCATCACCTCGCATTTGCCTGGATTGAACTCCATCTGCCATTTCTCCGCCCAACTCTCCAATCTATCTATATTCTGCTGCATTCTCCGACAGTCCCCTTCACTATCTGCTACTCCACCAATCTTAGTGTCATCTGCAAACTTGCTAATCAGACCATCTGTACCTTCCTACACATCATTTATGTATATCACAAACAACAGTGGGCCCAACACGGATCCCTGTGGAACACTACTGGTCACAGTTCTCCATTTTGAGAAGCTCCCTTCCACTAC